TTGTGTTTTCAGGAAATAAAGCGACGACGTTTGGAGAAACGCAAACTTGATCAACAGGATTATATGAGAACATTATTTTGTGCTCGTACAAAATAACTAAGTTATTTGATCATATTTATTGAGAAAAATATTATTTAGAATTTTAATGTCAATTATATTAATCGATAGATTATTAATATAGTTTTATTGTTCCCATTTTTTGTTGAATAAAACAGGACCAAATCAAGGTCTCAACTGCAACATACTCGGCACTAGTAAGCAACCCATACCCACCGTCACAAGGCTCTTTCGACGGTGGTGTGAAGTCGTTCATGGAACCGATCATTCAATTCCTAGCCGCCAACAAGTCTCCACTGCTAGCAAACATATACCCTTATTTTGCATGTGACTCTTTCGACGGTGGTGTGAAGTCGTTCATGGAACCGATCATTCAATTCCTAGCCGCCAACAAGTCTCCACTGCTAGCAAACATATACCCTTATTTTGCATACACTGGTGATCCACAACACAATACTCTTCCATATGCCCTGTTCACTGGCTCAGGTGATCCGTCTGGTTACCAGAACCTTTTTGATGCCTTATTGGCTGCTATGTACTCGGCTGTCCAGAAGGCAGGCGGACCCGGGGTGGAGATCGTGGTATCAGAGACCGGGTGGCCGTCTTAAGGCCATGAGGGAGCTACAAAGCAGAATGCAGAGACTTACTATCAGAATATGATTAAGCATGTGAAGGCCGGGAGTGGGACTCCAAAGAGGCCTGGAAAGGCTATAGAGGTTTACTTTTTGCTATGTTTGATGAGAACAACAAAACTGGGGAAGAAACAGAGAGGAATTTTGGGCTTTTCTACCCCAACAAACAGCCTAAGTACCATATTACTTTTAATTAAGATGTGAGTTAATTAATCAGTAAAGCTATTTACCTAGAAAAATTGTTAAGAATTTCTGAGTATGTACATGTCAGAATTTTTTTAAGAATTTTGAAATGAGAGAATAAAGGAACGAGGCCTAGTTTTATGCGTTGGAATATGAATTCCTAGCTAGCTAGGCTTGTATGAATTCTTATTTCCCTACTTAAAAATAGATTTTTTTTTTATTATTTTAATTCCTACATAAAAGATGTGATCAGACATATAGTTACATAATCAGATTATATTTATCGAAAAAAAAGGATAATCTTATATTTTTTTAAAGATCAGAATATTTGCTTTGGCAAATTATGATGGTAGTTCATATACTTTGATCCTTATGTTATTTTAGTCACTCTAATTTCAATTGGCTCGATTTTAATCCTGAATTTACGATTTTATCTCAATTTGGTCTAATTGATTACAATTCTTAATTTTGTTTTTGTTTTTTTTTTTGGTTTGTTTTGTTTTGTTTTTGTTTTTGTTTTTTTTTTTTTTTTAAAAAAAATACAGAAAATTATTTGGCCACCAAATGTTTTGGTAGCCAAATAGGTAATCAAAAGTTTTGGCTACTAATAATTTAGTAGCAAAAACATAACTCAAAACGTTTTTGCCACCAAATAATTAGTAGCTAAAAAAATTGAGAATGAGAGAAATAAACTATTGGCTACTAAATTTTTTAGTCACGGAAAAAATGGTATCATTTGGCGACTAAAACTTTTGGTGGCAAAAAGTAAAGAAATGAATCTTAATAGGTTTTTGGCTACGAACAGTTTTAGTCGGCAAAAGTCACCACGCCTAAGGTAGAACTTTTAGTGACTAAATAGTTAGTAGCCAAAAGTTTAATAAAATGAAAAATAATATTTTTGGCGACTAAATTCTTTAGTCCCTAAATGTAGTAATGGTGTCACTAAAACTTATTCTTTTTTTTTATTATTTTAATTCCTACATGAAAGATGTGATCAGACATATAGTTACATAATCAGATTATATTTATTGAAAAAAAAGGATAATCTTATATTTTTTTAAAGATCAGAATATTTGCTTTGGCAAATTATGACGGTAGTCCATATACTTTGATCCTTATGTTATTTTAGTCACTCTAATTTCAATTGGCTCGATTTTAATTATTAATTTTCGACTTTGTCTTAATTTGGTTTAATTGATTACAACTCTTAGATTTTTTTTTTTTTTTGTGTGAAAAATATACACGTAAGTGTCATGTGCCATAATTTTAAGAACAAAATTATAAATTTACTTAACTCAGTGGGTTAACCTTAATCAAATTTTTCTTAAAAAGTTGAACTAAATTGAGGCAAAATCTAAAATTAAATCAATTAAAAATATAAACTACTGACGGTGAAAGAGATGAGTTTCTGACAAAGAAGATAAGTAGAGCTACTCAAATCTACGTTAGATCCGGCTAGATCTAAACCAAAAAATAGTTGTCGGTGTGCAAGCATCTCTCTATATCTGTCTTTTTCCTTCGATTTCTTAGTTTTAATACTTTTTTTGTACTATACACTTCTATCTTCATATTATAATGGGAAAAATTTTAAATTCTGAATAAGTTATTTTCGAGTTTTAATTACAAGCGGTAAAAACTGTAAAATTTACAATTTCAGTTTTTTTTGTGCTGAATTGAATCATTCTTTAGAACTGTAAAATTTTGCAGTTTCATAACTTTTCTTTAGAACTATAAAATTTTGCGGTTTCATAACATGTTTTTCAGATTGATTAATAAGGATAAATACTTAATAAAATCATACTTTGAAACTGTAACATTTTACAGTTTCAAAACTAGCTTTTCAATTTGATTAATATTAGAAATTATTTGCTTAAACCCTACAAAAATTGAAAATAACATTTTTTTTTCATTGTTGATGTTTGTTGTTCTTAGATTTTTTTTCCATTCTTTTAGCAATATTTAACACATTTTGCTATGTTTTTTCACTTTAATTTCTTAGTTTATTCTTTTTTTTTCCCGGCAATATTCTAGACATTCTGGTGAGCCTCCAGTGACATTCTTGACGTCCAACGAATATTCTAGACATTTCGATGACTTCCAGTGACATTTAGAATATTCCGACAATACTCCGGTGAATTTTCGATGATATTCCACTAACTTTTCTAGTGATGTTGAATATTCTGGCCAGTCTCTGATGGTTGTCTGACAGAAGTCCGACGGTGGTGAGATGTAAGAGTATCTTTATTTTATTTATGTTTTAAAAAAATAAGATTTTTTTTTATAACAATTAAAAATATATAAGATTAATTGGTACAAATATTTTATTTTGAAACTAGATAGATTTTGAATTTTGTGTCTGGACTTATCAATAACTTTCCCTTGAAATAACACATGCATGAGAACCAAAACGAAAACTATTATATAATGCGCCGTGATTCGTGAACACCATGAGTCAAAGTTATAAATGGCCTACTTTGATGGTAGGTGACGTTTCACATTTGGTGTTGAAAGAAATCACAAACTGACTGTATCAAACAGATTTGATAACACACAGTACATAACAAATTTATTGAATTATAAAATAAAAGTTTTTAAAAAAAAAAATCAAACCAGAAAATATAGTCTATATAAAAATTGAAACAAGATTTTAACTAAATAACTTGAAATTTGTAAAAATATAATACCGAATTTGTCTTAAGTTGTAAGAAAAAACTCCTTATGTGTACAGTGTAAAACACGTAATCATTGCAAAAAATATATTACCAAATTATATTAAAAAAAATATAAGTTGAATATAATGTAAATTGGTTAGGTAAAACCAAACCAAAAAGAACCATAAATACTTATAGAGAAGTAGAAAACTTACAAAACAAATTATAAAAATTCGGAAACGAAACCAAATGTGATCGAGGCTTGTGTTAGACACAATTTCCTTAAGACAAATTCGTCTCCTGCTGTGGTGCTCACAAGTTTTTATTGGACGTTCGTCTCCCAAGACACAACGATCGAACCTTGCAAAAGAAGCACCACCATGGCAAGTCTGGCGAACCTTACTGTGCAGAATTCTCCTGCAGGAAAGACAGAGTGAAGAAGAAAAGAAACACAAGATGAATCCAATTTTATGAATGAATGCAATGGAGGTCTATGTATATAAGTGAATTAGTGACTCTTTGAAAAGTTATGATGACTTTTCATTGAAGAGACAAATCTATGAAGAGACACAACTTTTCTATAGAATAGGTGCAGAAAAGAGACATAACTCTTCCATGGAATAGGTGCAAAGAACCGACATGATTGTTCTTTCAAACAGATTCGAATTTTGTATCCAATCCGGTTCAATCACTACAACAATTTACACTTTCGGCGACCAAAATTGGCGACTAAAAAGAACTTAGTCACCAAATGTTAACTTTTTGGCGACTAAAAATTGTATTAGTCAGTGTTTGTTTAGGCTATAACTACTAAATTTTTTTAGTCGAGATATATTACTTATTGGCAACTAAAACAAAATTTAGTAGTTGAATATGCCACCTTTTAGCGACAAAAAAAATATTAGTCTGCGTAAGTCAAGATTTTAGGCTACTAAATGGGGTTTTAGTCGTCATATATTAATTATTGCCAACAAAAAAAAGTTTAGTCGCCAAATAAACAGCCATATTTTTACGTTACTCTTTGGCTACGAAAAAATTAGTCGGCAAATGTCCACTTTTGGTGACAAAAACATATTTAGTTGTGGTTTACTCAATTTTTTCTGACCAAAAAAAAAAAAAAATAGCTACCAAATTACAAGTTTCGGCGACTAATATTTTAGTAGCTAAAAATGAAGAGTGGCTACAAAATTTTTAGTCATTATATATTAGTTTTTGGCGACAAATAGCTAGTTTAGTTGCTAAAGGTATAATTCATTTTAAAGGGAAATGGATTTTAATATTGGCTCCCTGTTCTATGTTTAGACATCCGATTCTTCTCTTTCTCACACACAAATTCTCTATGACCACCAAACCATACCCCACCTCACCTCAGTGCAGACCACCATCTCTCGCCACTGCCACCACCACCACCACCACCACCATCACAGCAAATCACCACCAGCACTGTTGCATCCTCACTTGTTCTCTCTCTCTCTCTCTTTCTCTCTGTCTGTCTCTCCCTTTCTCTATTTCTCGTTCTCTCTCTCTCTCTCTCTCCCCCTTTCTCTATTTCCTCCTTTCTGAATCTTATCCTAGGGTTTTTATGATTTCTTTAGTTTAATTTCGTGGTGATATCGAAAAATGGGTTTGGTTGAAGTGATTTGATTTCTAAAGTTTTATGGGTTTAATGTCCAAAATGGGTTTGATTTTAGTGGTTTGATACATTTTTCCCTTTTTTCCCCTTCTCTCTCCTTAGTTTCAAAGCCCTAATCCATTGTAAGGATTTTAGATTTTATCTGTTTTTTAGATGCTCATGGTTTCATGGTTCAACATTTTCTCCACTAAAAACTTTGAAGTTAGCTTGATTATCAAGAAAATAAATATTTTATTTATATGCGAGGGGGTTGAATCGAATTTCTTTGCAGAACCATTAACTGGGAATGTGTTTACATGTATATCAAATGCTTTTAGCTTAGGGATTTTCAAGTCTCCGCAATTTGTTTTATTTTTTATCACTTGATTGGTTTCTTCTTTGGTTCTGCTATGCCTTTTTTTCTTTTTCTTTTTTTGTTCAATTTTGATTTTTTATTGTTTGTTTGTTTTGGCTGTTATGTGAGATAATGTTAAAAGTCTGGTATTTCTGCTTGTTTATTGATTAGAGTCAGTGGGGGACATTTTCTTAGACTTTTGAGGCCTAAATAGTGTTCTACCTCAAAGATATCTGACCAAATATGTATTTTTCCTTTTCTTGAAATAATTGGAAAACAGATAATGGACCTGAGGCTGTGATTTGTCTTGTAGCTTCCCAGAGTGTGACGGGTGCTTCCCTTCAAGAGAAAGAAGGATTCCGATGGGTAGGTGACCAACACAAATTATTATTTCAATTCTTTATTTTTACCGGGTATCAATTTTTCTTTGGTATGACTGAGAAGTGAAGTTAGTTCTTTATGCCATGTGGCCTGGTATAACACTGGGAAGATTGCTGTTTAACAACTTAACTCTTTCTCTCTCTCTCTCTTTACTGTTGTTCTGTTTGGGATTTTAATTCACCGCTGCTGACATCTATTGCTGGTTTGATTTTGCAGCTGAACAATGATGTTGTTAATGTCATCAACATATCTATCCAAAGTATTTTGGCAGTCTTGATGCAGCAAATTGTACTCCAAAACTGCTATACATAGTTTTACAAGATCACCCATTTAGTTTTAGATCATCTCGCAAGGAAAGGTGCATGGTTCAGGCCCATCTTTGCATATAGAATCTATGAATATTGATTAAAAACAGAAAAACAATGCATGACTATGAAACTCTTAACCGTTTTTGGGTACCCAAAATTTTTTAATGAATCAAAGGTTTAATCCGTTTGCCTTGTATCTTTGTTCCCATCATAATTAATTACATCAAGGAAAAAAAAAACTAGGTCTAATTTTTGTGCCTGAATATCAATAGTCTTCTTATATTGAATTTTATTCATAATGTTTTCTCCTCAATCTATACATAGGGACAAACAGTGACACTCTTCAAGCTGGACAAAATGTATCAACTAGTTTATGTTGGAGATGTTGAAGTCCCTGGAACAACCACGAATAGTACGACAGGGTAATTATTCTTTTCTTTTTTTTTGTTCAAAAGTGCATAGATTTAATTGATATTTTGAATCATTTGAATTTGAGTTGTTGAATTTTTCCAGACAATGCCTTGATGGTACTTTCTCGCCGGAGCTTGTGAAAGGAAAAATTGTTTTGTGTCTAAGTGGGTATTCAAATAATGTTGAGAAAGGCTTAGAGGTCAAAAGAGTCTAAGGAATTGGGTTGATTCTACAGAACCTTGTGAATGGAGAACTTTGACTCTAGAACTTTCATGGCTTGCCCTCATGTGGCTATTATAGCTTCACTCATCAAAGCCATACACCCTGATTGGAGCAGTGCTATGATAGGATCTGCCCTGATAACAACTGGTACACTTGCACGTTTTAACTTATTACATGTTCTTTATTTTCTAGCTTTCAAGACATCTTTTATGTCCTAATTTTTATAGGTTTTTCTTCTTTTGGCATAGCTGGGCTAAATAATAACCAAATGACACTTCTCTTTCTCTCTATTAACCAAATTACACTTCTCTTTCTCTCTATGTTCATTAGAGTCGAAAATGACTTAAACTTAACCGAAAAAGGGCGTTAAGGATGCAAAAAAGCGAAACAGCCCCAGAACCATCGTGTGGATGTCACGACTAGCTTCCTGGTGACATATAGGACCTGTGACAATAGTCAAAAGGTCATTAGCACACATAGGTTAGGAATTAGAGCCGAAAACGCCTAAAATTTAATCGGAAAAGGGCGTTAAGGAGGCAAAAATGCAAAACAGCTCCAGAACCACCGTAGAAATGTCATGGCCAGCTTCCTCGTGACAAATAGGACCTTTGACAACAGAAGAAATGTAATTAGCATGCGTAGGTTGGGAGTTACTGCCGCAAACGCCATAAACTTATTCGAAAAAGGGAGAGTTTGACATTCAATAATTGTTCAACATTTTGATTTTGAATGATGCCATTGTTTCATCATATAAGGTGGTCATTTGGGTGGTAAATGTGTTAAGAAAATGGGAATGGAAAAGAGTTAAAATAAATTTACAGCCAAAACATTTTAGCAATAAGCATTTATTTTCTGAAGAGGTATGCTCCTAAAAATTGTATTTCTTGTAAATCGAAATCAAGTTTGGAATAAATCTTTCATGAAAAAGGCTTTTATAGATTGTTCTACCTTAAATGCATGTTATTACAACCTTTTTCCTATGTCTGAATCAATTGATATTTTGTAATGGGTGCAATTATTATATTTTATTTTTTGTAGATGGCTGGCGTAGACTTGTGGATAGTCTATATTTTTATTTATGAAGGACACTTGACACTTTTGTATAATTCTGCTAACTATGTCGCCCTCTGCTTTTGTGTAGATTAGTATTATTGATACATATAACTTTTGTAATCCAACTGATAGATCACTTTTTGTCATGGTACAGATTACGATGGTAATTTGTACCACACCAAATGGCCATATCGCATGGTAGTAAATATATTTTTTGTATATGGAGGGTTGGATTTTTGTATGGAAATATAATTTTAGTTTGGACAATAGTTGATTTGTATAGAATATATACATTTAAAGTTATTTATTTTTGGGTGGTTAGAAGTAATATGGATTGTGAAATGATTGATAATTTTACATTGTGGAATGATTGATAAAATATATATTGTTTTGTTTATATACATACTACAGGTGCACGAAATATAGACATCTCGTGGAGAAATTAGAATTTTGCGATAAAACATAAGAGTATTTTTTGGCGACTAAACAATTTGTAATAAAAAAGGAAATACATATTTCAGTGTTAGTAGCTAAAACCAAACAAAAAGATTTCGGGAACAATTATGGTGACTACAAAGCTTTGTGCCAACAAAAAGCAGACATTAGGCGACTAAAACTTAAAAAATAATCATACATTTGGCAACTAAAATATTTTGTAGCCAAAAAATTAAAAAACATTTGCCGACTACAAGTTTAGTAGCGAAAAATGTGAGACTTTTGCCGACTAAATGTGTAGTAGGCAAAACATAAAATATTTGTCTACTAAAAGCTTAAGAAAGTCAAAGTTTTAGTGACCAAAAATTAGTAGCCAAAAAGAAAACCAGACTTTAGGCAAGTAAAACCTTAGTAGCCAAAAATAATCCGACATTTGGCGACTAAAATGTAACGCCCCGAAATAATCCAAATACACAATACATCAACCCACATCCACTAAATAATAATGGAAAAACTCTAACCCTTACATCATATATCAAAAAAGTTATTACAAAAGTTCCACATGTGATTTATACATTCAATGGTATGAAAACACATGAATCTATAGCATGTGAAGCATCAAATCTCAAAAGTAAATAAAATGCCTCCATGGGCTTACTACTTCCAAGGCTTAAGTCTGGTTACAAAAAAGTGGCCTCTCGGATCTATACATGTATAACCCCTGGCTAGCAAAATATATAAAACAAAATAGAGTCATCTACTCTTCACAAAAATATGCTCACGCCATCAAGTCAGGGGGATCACCATATCTTTACCTGTACCAAATCCCATAGGGGTAAGCATAAAGTCCAGCAGAGAAATCCTTACAAAGTACATACAGTTATGCAAATTTTCCAACATTTAATGCAAATGCAAATGCCATGCAATGCCATTTCAAAGATGATCTCATTTCATGCTCTTCTTGAAAACCACCATGTTTTCATTAACATTTTGCAATCTCATCAAATTCAAACTTCCAATTTTTTTAATCCTTAGGAGCGGTAAATACGACTCAGGTAATCCCTAAGTTGGTGTCTACAAGTTGGCTCAACAAGTATTACCAATAACCCCACTTTACCGATTGCTAACCGGAAGGGAAGTGGTACCTCCTCCGCACGTGTTTTTGGTCTTTCACCCGGACACTCAGGCCAACTTATCAACTCATCTACACCTCCTAACTGGACTTACCAACGTATTTACCCCATACACATTTCCGTAGTTCTTATTACAATATATTTTCTTTTCTTGAAGTAAATGTTTCCAATCTAAATTCACAATGCATAATAATTAATTTCATGCGAATGCAATGCAGTGATCTTCCTTGCCTCACAGCATTTCTCCATTTTCAAGTATCTTGACAAAAATATCAAAACAAATACATTTCCCATTTCCTCTCTTCAATGTTATTTCGTAAAATAACCATATGCCATCAACACGCAACAACAATTTCTCATCATGCACAATTCTTAACAATTTGGTATCTTCAAGACTTCATGTGATGTTTTCAAACATTAATCTCCAACATTTTACAATTCTCACAATCCATGGCACACAACCATTTCCCATCTCACAACAATACATCTTCAAGTATTTAGCAATAATGTTAAAATACTTTCTCATTTTTCATATATCAAGAAGATTGCTATTTATCAAAACATATTATGAAATCTACTCTCATTCATTCTCTTATCACAAGAAAAGAAATAAATCCATAAACTTTTTCATATTTTTCGAAAACCCCAAATTTCTAGGGTTTTTCATTAAAAACCAAACATTTCCCCATTTCTTTAGTGAAAACCCACCAAAAACATCTTCCTTAAATTAATGAAAGTGAAACCCTTAAGGATCAACTTTGAATCATTTTTAAACCCTCTTTTGAAAAATCTCTACACTCTTGAGCCAAAAACCAAACTTTCAAAATAACATCAAGAGAACTTTAAAATCAACATCAATCTAGCAAAACATGTATATATAACTCAAGGAAGTCCCTACCTCAATGTTTGATGATGAAAGAGATGAAACCCTAGAGTCAAGATGGAAGATTCTTCAATTTACACTACACCAAGAGGAGCCCTAGCTTTGATCTTCAAGATTAGTGAGCAATGATGACTCTAGGCTCAAAGGATCACAAGAAATTAAAGATTTTGAGTGCTAGATGAGGGTTTTTGGAGAGAAGGAAGAGTAAAAATGTTTTTAGAGAGAGAGAGGTGTTGAAAACAATGAGATACATTCAACCCTAAAAGATAAAAAAAAATAGGGTTTTCGAACTGCCCAATGTCCTGCACGTACGGCACGTGCCCCGCACGTGCGGCCCTCAACCCTGCACGTGCGGCCTTCTCTTGCCGCATCTCCTCCAGCACCTGCATATATTGCAGTGTGCAGCCCCAAACCTCTCCTGGATTCCGCACATGCGGCCTCACTTTTCGCATGTGTGGCCCCTTTCCCGCACGTGCGGCCCTTGGTTTCCAGCCCAGAATTTTCCCTTCTCAATTCTAGGCACCTTGGACCGGACCTCGTACCCTCCGGAACAAGTAGGAATCAACACTAAAGAAACAAGAACAAGAATTTCGAGAAAAACTTTCGAGCACAACAACCCAGATGATTAATAAGGCTTCAAATGAGACCCGACACACTAACGTGACAAATCCAAGGTTTAACAAAGGAAAAGAGACAGATGGCATACTAGGTCGTCACATAAAATATTTTGTAGCCAAAAATATTTGATGAACAACAACAAAACTTTTGCCGACTACAAGTTTAGTAGCGAAAAATTGAGACTTTTGGTGACTAAACTTTTAGTTGCTAAAACACAATCACACTTTAGGTGACTAATATATTTAGTAGCTAAAAAAATAATACGAGGAACCGAAAAAAATTTGGCTACTAAATCTTTAGTAGCTAGATATAAGTAAGATTTTTCGCGACAAAATATTTTTATTCGCTGAAAAGGTGAGATGTAATATTTTTCAATACTTTTGGCGACTAAAAAATTAGTCGGCATTTCAATACATTTGGCGCCAATTATCTTCCCGACAATCCTTCAGCGACTACTCTTGCGACCAAAAAATTTAGTCACTAAAAAGTTTCGACGACTAAAAGATGACTTTTGGCAACTAAAAATTTAGTCACCAAAAGTGTAAATTCTTGTAGTGAATTTTGACCCAAATAAGTAACAAATAAATTTAATTTTAAATTAAATAAATTTCGTCTTAATATCATACTCAAATGGTGCACTTTGAAGTCAATTTCTCCTTCACCTATTAATGGTTTCCAAACTATTTTTCCAACAGATTCAACTATAATCTGATCATGAATAGTCCAATTATCATGTGATTTTTTTTTTTTGGGAAAGAATCAAACCTTTTTTTTAATATTGAAGTAGTCTCAAATTGTTTGTCCAATACAAAAAATGAGAACTTAAAAATAATATAGGGAGATTGACTAATAAGTTCCATATTTTGAATTTATGACCCATATAGTCCCATATTTTTTCTTGTGATCCATTTGATTCTTTTGAATGTGTAATGATTCATTTGTTCGCCACATTGGAGTGTCACATTTAGGGAAAAAAATATACTAAGGAGTTTTTTAATATCATATCATCCTTGCCACGTTGGAGTCACTACAAGAAAAAACACTTTTCGTGACCAACATTTTGGTCGCGAATAGTACCATATTTGGTCGCTAAAATCTTTTCGCGACCAAAATATGTTGGTCGCGAGTTGGTCGCTAAAGTCTCGTCACAGATTGTTTTCTGCGACCAAAAAAGCCTTTGGTCGCTAAAAGTGACCATTCGCGACCAACTTTTTTGGTCACGGAAAGTCCAATTCATATTAGCCAAAAGTAAACTTTTAGCAACCAAAGATAAGTTGGTCGCCAAAAGTCAGCGCCTTGACCCAAAAAAAAATAATTCTTTTGTGCTGCCTGAGATTTGAACTCCTAACCAAGGAGTCACCATGCACCCAATCCACTCTGCCGATACCATGCTTTTTGTTCATATTTGGCAAAAAATATATATAACCCATAAAAATTGGGTTATATATTATTTTATAAAACTTTTAATGCCTAAACAGAAAAATAGCATGTAATTACAGTAGTATCATTTTTTAAAAAATTTATCCCGTCATAACTTTCCGCGACCAACTTTTTTTTTGGTCGCCAAAGGGTAATCTTCCGCGACCAAAAAAGCCTTTGGTCGCCAATAGTATACTTTTCGCGACCAACTTTTTTTTTTGGTCGCCAAAAGGTGATCTTCTGCGACCAAAAAAGCCTTTGGTCACCAATAGTATACTTTCCGCGACCAAAAAAGTCTTTGGTCGCCAATAGTATACTTTCCGCGACCAACTCTTTTTTTGGTCACCAAAGGGTATACTTTCTGTGACCAACTTTTTTTTTTGGTCGCCAAAAAGTGATCTTCCGCGACCAAAAAAGCCTTTGGTCGCCAATAGATATACTTTTCACTACCAACTTTTTGTTTGGTCGCCAAAAGGTGATTTTTCGCGACCAAAAAATTGTGGTCTTAAATTTTGGTCGCAGAAAATATACTATTTGCGACCAAAAAAAATAGGTGGTCGCCAAAAGTGTTTTTTCTTGTAGTGAGTGTCACATTTGAGAAAAGTACAGTAAGAAGTTTTTAATGTTGTTAGAGCATCAC